GAATCCCTGCCCCTTCCCCAGATGCACCCCCCCCCTCCCCACCCCCCCACCCCGCTGTTCAGATTAGCCTAAAACCTCTGCCAGCCTGCCCCACAGCCCGCAGCTAGTAAAACCTTGCTTAGGTAAAACTAGCTAACCCCCTTCTGCTGGCACAATAGCTTTGGTGTCGCATGTGGTGGAGTTCCAGGCTCTGTAACTATTTTTCATGAAAGATTTTCCTACTGCCCAAGTGAATACGTGAAGCTACAGTAGCCTTGGTACCGCGTATTTCCTGAAAAGCAGCGTCCGGTTGTTTCTTCAGAGACCCAAAGTCCTTTCAAGGGGCGGGGTGGGGAGAAAGAAAGTGATAATGTACCGGGACGGAACAGAGATGATGGATGTTTTATTTTCGCACCCGTCGCCTCCAGAAAGAGTGCCAAACGCCGGGGCAGAGGCTGGCTGGGCCGAACGCCACTCGCCGCCCCCGAGAAAACCCGGCTGGGGAAAGTGGGGTTCCAGAGAGCTCGGGGGCCGCAGCAGGCAGGCACCGCGAAACGCAGTCTTGACTCCCTCCCGAGGGAGGCGAGGCAGCGGGGCCCGGCTGTCTGGGGGAAGCAGCGGTGTCATCCCCCCCGCCTCGGTACGGCCGCGTCCGGGACCCGCTCTCTCCTCCCAAGTTTAATTTGCCAACTTGGTGTCGGGCAGGGGCTGCTCCCACGAGGCGTGGGCTGAGGCCCCGCGGGAAGGGGGCCGGGGCCCGGGAATGGGCGGGAGGAACGCCCGCTGCGGGCACCGGCGCCGCCCGGCGAGCCCCTCTCGGCTGCGCGGAGGGCAGCGGATGGTTGCGGAGTGGCTGTGGCCGCACGGGCCGAGCCGCTGTGGGAGTTCCCTGCGGGTTCCTAAGCCAAAATGTCCCCTCCCCCAGTGTCTGTTCATTTTATTGGGAGGGGGGATAGCTCTGCTATCTGGGGTTAGGTAGGTAATCACTTTGAACTCCAAACGGAAGCCAATCGATCAGAGCACGATTACCTACAGCTTTAAAGCGAATGCTTCCAAATATGAAGCTGCCGGGCGTGCTTACCCTTCCCTCTCTGTTTTTTCCCTGGGCTCTTTCCGAAACGCCTGGTCCAGCTCACCCGGACATAGCTCTTCCAGTGCTGGTTTTCTGGAGCTTATTCCATGTCAGAATTGTGAAAGTCCTCTGACAATTTACAGACAAAACATCTGGTTCGTTAAAGCAAAGCTACTGGACTAAGACAAACAAACTTTCTGCTGTGTAAATTCACTTACCCAAACAATTTACATTCAAGCGAAGATTTTAGCCCGAAGAAAAACTTTTATTCATTTGTATTCAGGAGGTTTGGGATTTCTTAGGCATTTTAAAATAATTTTGCTCTAATACGGTTATGTAGATATTACAAAATGTCTTTATTCCCCTCTTAGATTCCTATCGCTGTTATAGTGGTTATTGACAATGCTCTGTATTTTACAAAAGCGGGGTAGCATCTTTTTCCGTCGTTGGCAGCGGTGTTTTTAAACAAACTTGTCAGATACATGTTCATCCAGTCCAGCCTTAATGAAAACTGCTTCCTGCCTCTTTGTTCTTCGCCGGGAGAAACCGAAGTACTTTTCGCTCCGTTTGAGGAGTGCGGCAGGGAGGGCTGGGGTAAAGCCCGGGATGGGCAGGTCTTAAAAGGGACCCCCGGGGTGAGCAGAGGAGGCCCGGAGAGCGGGTACCCACGGCCCGGGGAGCCCGGGACATGCTTCTCCCGTCTGTGTCAGCAGCGAGCGTGTGGTGAAACACCAGCACTCTGCTGGGGAGAGAACAAGGTCAAAGCCGAAACACGCTGGTTTCTAAGAGGCAGCTGATCTACATTTAATAAACTTACTTACTGGCCCTCCCCAGCTATCCCCACAGCTATCCGCATAGTTATTCCCACAGTTACCTCCGTACTTATCCCCATAGCTATCCCCGCAGCTATCTCTACAATTATTCCCATAATTATCCCCATACTTATTCCCCTAGTTATTCCCATAGGTATTTCCTTAGTTATCCCCACAACTAACGGTTAATCCCCGCGTTCCTTTCAGCAGCTCAGCCCTCTCGGACCTGGGTGCCGGGGGGAATGTTTCTTGGAAAACTGCTGGAGTTTTCACTTGGGGGGATGAAATGAACAGTGAAAAAGTACCACAAGGAAGGGCACTGCTCGGTGCACACCGTGGAGATATAAACCATTCTTAGCTGATGGGAAGTTGAGGAATGGTGGTTATCTCGTTATGCGACTTATAAATAATTAGGACCGTGGTTTAAAACTGCCGGGAAGAGAGAGCTTAAAGCTGATCCTCGTGCGCTGACTCTTTCTAGTTGGAGTCTGTACAGTCATCGATTTTATGCATTATGTTTGTAAATGTTACCCTTAGTAGAACTACGGGTTTTGGCTCTCTGAAATAGACTGTGTCCCTCGAAGACGCCGATGCACATGAAGGAATCTGCGTTTCCCTCTGTAACTCGTCTGATAGGAAGTACAATACTTTTTTTTTGTTGTTGTTCTTCCCCTAAAAACATCGGTAGAGTTAACAACCCAGTTACTCCACAACTTCCTGAGTATTTTGGCACTGGGAGTTGTGAATGTGTAAGTGCAGTGCATGTGCTGGGGTGCGCGTATAGCTGCTGCCTCCCTCTCTCACGCTCACACGAGAGCTATTATTTCTAACTGAACTGCCTAAGTTCTTCCTACTGCTGTTTAGGGGAAGTTTGACTTCTGTTTCAACTCTAGACCCAGGCTGGTGCACTCCCACATCACGGTGCCTGCGGCCCGCGCTGTGCGGGGCAGCCCCGCGGGGCTCTCCGCAGGGTTTGGGCAATGACACCGGTCTCCGGTGCTGGGGTTGCCGGGGTCTGCGCTCCTGCGGGAGGGCGAACTCTACGAGGGAGGCTGCTGAAGCACACACGACACTACACCCGTACACGGGGGTGCGTGGAGCAGCGAGAGGGGCCGGGCCGGGCCGGCGGAGGGGGTGCGCACCCGGAGAGCCCCGGGCCGGGGCACCCCGCGGGCTGCATGCGATGCAGAGCTGGGGGAAGGTGAGCAGATTTAGGGAGATAGAAGGAGCGGAGGGGGGGGGGGGGATAAAAGTTCTTGCAACTTGCCCCCCCTCCTCATACTAGTGATTGGCCGCTGCAGCCGACTAGTGAAGGCTCAGTGATTCCTGCTGCGGATAAGACTCCCGCACGTTTAAGAGCTGCCTTTACAGGGCTGAAATAGCTAAGGAAGCCTTGTCACTTCCACGGTACTTGTGGTCTCCAGGGCGTTTCACCGGAGCCAGTGACCCCGGTGCCCCTGCTCCCACCTGGATCTCACAAAGTTTAGTTCAGCCTCTCCTGCTCGGGAGCTCAGAGGAACCCTCCATGCTGCGCTCTCAGTAGCCCCAGCCCCGGGGCTCCCCGATCCGCCGGGCTCCGTGTGCTTAACGCGGTCCCGGGCAGCCGGGAGTGGCCCCAGCCACATCGGTCGTGGGGGGGTTGTGGTGGGGCGTGAATTATTGAGGTTTTCTATTTCCTAATTCCTACTGAAAGCGGAGGAGGGGGCGGGGAGGAAGAAGTTATTAATCGCAGCCGAGCTCACTCCGTTTCCCGGGGCTGTGGAACATTTGTAAATACTTATGCTGCGGCTGGTCCCATCCTTCCCGGTGAAGTTGTTGAGCATGTCGGTTATTTGTACCGAACCCCCGGTCTGCGTTGTGTCTGATGTGTTGTCGCTGCAATGTGCAGCCCGGGGTGACACTGATGGATGCGCCAATGGTGAGACAGACAGATGTTAGGGCGGATCTAACGGCATGAGGCGGCGAGCGGGGCTGCCCGGGTCTGCCCGCTCCCCGTCCTGCGGCACCCACCCACCCGCTTACACACACACACAGAGGGGTTTTGGGGAGGGGGGCACGTCTCGGTGCCGTCTCTTAAGTAGATCTGATGGCTCCTTCCCTAAGCAGATACTGTAACTGTGAGGAGCAACCAGCGAGTATCAAATGAGATGGAGCTGAGCGAATTTGGCAGTTGAACCGGCAGTTGACAACTCACCGTTTCCTTGTTTGCAAGAAATGTTTCATTTTCCCCCAACAGTAGCAATTTCGCGGGGACTTTAAGCGACTGCGATTTTATTTTTTATCCTAAAGATCATCTTAAAAAAGAAAAAAACCCTCAAAAATAATAATTAAAAAAAAAAATCCCAATCGTCCTCCACCCTTCATGTAAAGTGTTTGAATTCCCTGCCACTTGGAGAGGAAAGCGGGAGCAGAGAGCGGCGCGGCGGCTTTATAAGATGCGAAGACGCAACAACATCTGCACTTAGTCAGGTATTTGGAATTATCCCAAAACCCGAAGAATGGGGGCGAGCGGAGATTTTTTTTTTTTTTTTGATCTTACCGTAAAAGTGAGATAATCCTTTTTGTTTTATTCCTCCCCGTGAACTTAAAAAAAAAAAAAAAAACCCAACAAAAAAAAAAACCAAATCCCAAACCCCAAACCCCAAAACCAGAAAGAAAGGGAAAAGGAAAGAAAAAAACCCGCTACTTTTTTTGCTGTTGTTTCCGCTCCCCCAGCCCCCTCCCTATCCAGGCGGCCTCCGGCAGCGGACGCGGGTGCGGAGCGCAGAGGAACGGCCGCGCCCGCGCAGGCGGGAGGCGCTTAAGCCGGCCCGGACCCCCCCCACGTTCCCCCCCCCCCCCCCACCGCCCCAGCCCTCCCCGCTGGTGCGCGGCCCCGCCGCCCAGGGATGCACAATCAAACCCTCAGCACATCGATCCGTCGGCGCTCGCTGGGCTGAGTTAGGCTGAGCGCGGCGGCTCCGCCGGTGAACTTGGACCAAAAAAATTGCAAAAAAAATCCCGAACTCAAAAGAAAAAAAAAAAGCCCCCCAAAAGGAAAAAGTGATCTCCCGAAGAGCAGGGAGCTGCCCGCTGCCCGGCCGGCCGCCGGCACCGCGGGGCAGGGCGCAGCGCCTCGGCCGGCGGAGGCGCCGCCGTTACCGGTCCCGGCCGGAGCGGCTCCAGCCGACACTCCGCCCGCAGGCGCGCAGCGGAGCCCGGGCGGCCGCGGCGCCAGCCAGGTGGGAGCCGAAGGGCTGGATGTGTGCCGGCGAGCGGCCGGCTGCCCGGCGCTCCGGTGAGTAGGGCCGGGGCGGGCGGCGGCTTGAGGTGCAGGGTGAGGCGGGGACCGGGGCCGCTACCGCTGTCACCCCATGGGGTGGCCGAGCTCCTCGGCGACGGGGCTCAAGCTCCCGGGACAGATACCGGGCCCATCTCACTGGGGCAAGGGGTGGGAAAAGGCTGCAGGGCAGGAGGGTCCCGTGCCCCAGCGTGGCGGCAGGCGATGGCTGAGGGGGGGGGTCCGGCTGGGAACGGGTGCGGAAAGGGTAGGGCTGCCGGCGGGGAGCGGAGTGGCTGCGCTGCCCTGTCGTGCCGTTCCCGGGGGTCCGGCGGGCAGAGCCCCTCCGCTGCCGCGGGCTGCTGAGGAAAGCGGTGGCAGGCGAAGTTGGGCGGCGGAGGAGGTGCCGTGGTTGAGGGGGGCACCCCGTTGCCGCCGCTCGCCCCTGGCGGACGCTTCTCCGCCGCCGTGGCCGGGCCGGTGGCGGGCTGTCCGGCGGCGCGATGCGCAAAGAGTTAAGGTGCCGTCCGGGGCGGGAGGTGGTGGGAGTGCGGAGCCCCTCTCTCTCTTTGCGGACTAGTTTGAGTGACACTGCGATCATCTCGTTTCCCTTCAAGCTTCGCCTGTTGCCGCCGCTCCAGCGCCGAGCCGGGAGCCGGGGAGTGGAGAGCGCCGGCTGAGGCTCCGCCGACTCCTGCCAAGAAATTCCCCGTCTTTATGCCGTGATCTCTCAGCCCGGCCAGGCACCGGGGGCGCGGGGTGGGGTGGGGGGGACTACGGGCTCCCCCCAGCCCTCCCGCCCGCTCACCTCTTCGGGGGGCTTCCCCTCCTCCTTCCTCCGGGGCGATTTGTCAAACTTCCCCCCTCTTCTGCCAGCAGCAGCAGCAGCAGCAGCAGCAGCAGGGCTGTCCTCTCCTCTGTGCCGCCTCCTCCTCCTCCGCCGCCGCCGCCGCCTCCTCCTCCTCGGCATCGTGTATGCACAGCAACAAAAAATATATCCCCAACCCAGCCCTCGAGCCGAGGCTGGAGCAGCTCACCGGATCTCAGGGGCTGAAGCAACTCTTCCCACCCCCGCGCCCAGGCAGCCCCCCTTCCGCCGGCCGCCGGAGCTCAGCATGCCGAGGAGGAAGCAGCAAGCGCCCCGGCGCGCAGCAGGTACGAGAGCCGCGGCCGCCTGCCGCTCCCCTCGCTTCCCGCCGGCTCGTCCATAACCGCCTGCCAGCGGGCCGAGACCGTCGGTCCGCACCGGGTCCCCCCCCCCCCCCGCCATACCCCGCTCCCCTTGCTTTGCAGAGCAGCTCTCGGGCTGGAGGCGCAGCACTGTGGCGGGGAGTGTGTGTGTGCTGTATATAATTTTGTTTGTTGGGTTTTATTTTCCTTGGGGTGGGGATACATGAAAGCCCTGTCCCTACTTTGGTACCCACTTGAATTATTCTCTAACTCTGCCGTCAGTACTGGGGGAAAGCCGGGCGGCTATGTGCGGGCACATACTACATGTGTTGTATCTGTATGACTCCAGGGGTGGGGTAAGGAGGCGAATTTTGTTCATTTCCAGCCCTTACTTTGGCACCTACTTTGCTTCTCTCTCTCATGGTTTTGGTTCTTCTCTATCCCCTTAGTTCACAGACAAATGGTTAGTGAAAGCCAGTGAAAATGCTCCTTTTTAAAAAAAAATTCTTTTTTTTTTTTTTTTCTCCTGTAAAAGGAGGTATATAAATACCTGGCACGCTGTGAATGAAATGGTGGGGACAAAGTGATTTGGAGGCTCTGCAGTGATACTTGATGATCCAAGCTGAGAGCCTGTTCCTTTGCCCAACTTTTCTCTTTCTCTCGCTTCACCTCATACCACACTGGGGATGGCTCTGTTGAACACAGACCCACCGAGTCGGCCACTTTCTTTAGCAACCTCTTCTGTTAATCCTATTGATTTCTTATTTATGAGTCCAGATGAGATGCTGCGAAGGAAACCAAAAGGGTTTGGGGGAAAAAAGGGTCTGTGTATTGTCAAATGCCTCGTGAATGTTTCTTATAGTTCCTTTACGATTTCCTCCATGGGTTTTATTTTTTCTTCTTTTTCTCTTTGGAAATACTTTTAAAGGTTTTGTCCTGGTGAGGGCTTTTTTTTGTTTGGTTGGTTTGTTTTCCTTATGCCAGAAATGTCAACTCCTGTTAAACTTAAGCAACGTTTTTTTTGAAAAGCCAAATTGAAAAGAAAACAGTAAAAAAAAAAAACAAAACCAAAAAAAAAAAAGCCACACATAATTTTACAGTAATCCTTAGTTGGGGTTATGTGGGCTGGAAGAGGTTTCGCTGGCCTGTTGCCATCCTTGATTTGATGGCTGATTGATCGCCTGTCATCTGGCTGCCTTTGATCTATTCATTCCCGATAAACATCAATAAATCACTTGCCGTGGTAACGCCAGGCTGGTGACGTCACACACGGCCTGTCAACTCTGGGTTAGCACAACTTGAGGGGCTCCTTGGCTGGAGGTGCCACAGAGCCCCATGGCATGGGGATGGTGGAGGAACAGGTTTGCGTTTGGTTAGGGACAGTTTTGGGGACCAGCATGTCACCCATGACTCGCCTCTTACATAGGAAGGCTGTGTGCTGACAGGCTGAGAGTCTGGATTCTCTAGGGGTGTTCTTGTGAGTGCATCTGTGGGTGTGCTTGTAACTGCTCTGAGCAGGTAGTCCTGCAGCTTGATGGGTTGTTGGTACAGAAGAGACATCCAGAAATGTGCCTCTGCATTCACACTGCCCAACAACTCAGTAGTACAGTCTGGATATAGTGAACAGCGATGGTTTTGGGGAGAGATGTGAATTGTAAAAAACTATGATGTCCGCACTTCCTTTCTTCTCTTCCTTGACATATATGTGCATTTATCGAATACTTCTGAAACAGAGAACCAGACTTCTTAGCAGCCTTGCTCCAAATACTAATAGCTAGGAAGTTTGGAAAGTTTTGCAGTGTGGTAGCGGTACAATCTGTCAATGTCGTAGCCAAATAACTTCACAATAATATTTTGCACTTCTGGCCAGTGCCATCAAATGATACTTTTCAAATAAATTAAAAAGGGGAACCTTTCCTAAGGTTCATGAAATTCTCTTATGTAACATCAGTCGAGTTTTGCAAAATCCAGCTCTTGCAAGTGTTTGACATATTCAACTGTGCTGTGTGCTGGGCTCTCCAAGGGCTGGGAGAAAACGTTTCTGCCCTAAACATGGGTTCTGAGGCATCTTTCCCTCGCTTCATCACTCTCCAGCTCTCCCTCCTTCTCAAGTGAATCATCCATGATGTGTGATCTATCTTTCATATTCAGCAGAAGTGTAATCTGTTTAAACTTTTAGCTTTTTGATAGCCACATTAAACATTTAGTATTGTGTATAATTGCTTCCCACTGAGATGCTGCTTTATTGGTCACATTGGAAATGTTACTTTTTCTAACAGCAGTAAAAGCAAAGGCCTTGTTTGTTTTTTTTCTTTTAACACCTTAAAAAACAGCTAAGAAATAACAGGTTAGTTAAGAAATATTCATTACAAAAACTTGACTGCAGGACTAATAGGAGATGGAAGAATGGTTTTGCTCTATCAAAATGACCCGTCAAAACGACTTTGTTTCATATTTGATTTAATTGTCTCTCTCCTGACAGGCACATTCATCAATAGCTTAATGGTCAATCAGAAGTTGGCAGAGTGAGTGCTTTCATTCTTTCCCATACACTAGCTTTGGCTTTACTTTATCAAAATGCCTCTGCCTAATGGATATGGGGGATGTAGAATGACTGAAGGGCTACTTATTTGACAAGAGTGAAAAAACAAGAACATTTATGCTGTTGATAAGTGCATGAAGATAAATAAGTGAGCTGTGTGAGGCGTTTTATTTTAAGACAGAAGAAACTTTCTTTATTTCCCCCCTCCCCTTTTTGGCTGCAGAGCTGCGAGTTATAAGGTTCATGACTGCTTTTGTGGCATACTGAGAGTGATGACAAATTGATTGCTTGGTACTGAGAAAGAAAAAAAAGGTGGTGGTGGGGGGAGAATTAAAGATGTCTGCTGATTGGTAACTCAGGAAATCCAGTCCCCAGCAACCTTGAGAATACTCGAGAATTTTTTTTTTTTTTTCCTCCAAACTGAAAGGTCCGCTCAGCCATAAAAAAAAAGAAAAGTTGTTTTGCCAGCTTCATTAGTGTTCACCTAATTAGCTGTAAACCTGATGGATTCCTGACAGCTTTAATGATTGGAGATGACAAGCTCCACGCAGTGTCATCCAGCAGAATTAGGTTTGCAGCTAGTTTGATGTAATCAAGTTGATATTACACAGTCCTGGTTGCCTTTAGTTGTGCATTAACTCAATTTTCTGCTGCAGGTGACAAATGGGCTTTGGTACCTGGATAATCATGTCATAGGAATTAGGGCCCTTTTAATGGTCTGGAGTAGAATAACAACAACAAAGAACTCTCAGCAGCACAGAGCTTGCAGACAGAACAGACAGGTGCACAAATTCTTTATGTCTAGCCCAAGTGTTAACACCACACTGTGGAAGACTAAAGCTGTCTATAAGAATCAAGAATCTGTAAAAATGATAATTTGGGTTTGTTTGCTTTGAGACTCAGGTGAATAGCACAGAGAAATTTGGGAGGAAGACTTGGGGATCGCATTTTGATTCCTCACCTGTTAAAGCAAGAAGACAGAATTCCTGCTCCAAAGACTTCTGTCACTGAAGTCAGGAGGAAGAAGGTATTTACTGGTTAGAGGCTACTGTCTAGGGAAGCTAAGATACTGCATTAATAGAGGCCAGTTGTGTTCATGCAAACAGTAATTATTTGTCTTTAAATTATAGCTTTTACTCACAGCTTATTTAGAAATCTATTTAAAAGATCAAGAAAATATACTTACTACTGACAGAAATTACCTAATACGTATTTTGTATACAGATAAAGCTTTTCTGAGGAGGGATGGGGAGCTAATCATTTGTTGGAAACTCATTTACTTTTTTTTTTTTTTTGAGATTGAATAAAACAATTATTGTTTGGTTTGTTTTTTTTTTTTTTAGATCCAGACAACTGCACTGAATTTTGAAACCTCTTGAGAAAAAATCCAAACTTGGGCCCATGGTGTATATATACGTTATACATATATATATTTGTATATAGTAAGGCTTAAACCCTAGAACTAGCTGCATACTCTCTAGGCTTTTCACAGCTTCCTTGCTTACATTCAGAAGACACACATGGTCAGTAAATACTGAAATACATTGCACTGATTTTTCAGGGATGCAGAGCACTTCCACTTTGCTGGGACTTTGGTGCTCTTGGTAGTTACCAGCACCTTCCGAGCAAGCCTGGGAGTACACCACAGTAGTACAGATGCAAGATGGCACGCAGGTTGTGCAGCCAGATTTCCACACAGCTCTGACCTCTGGAAGTTGAATGCTTGCTTTAATTTATGGGAATTGCTAACAACTACATACATACCCCAAAACTAAATGTAACAATAAAGTAGATTACCTATAAAGGTACTTGAAGTGTCAGCCTTTGGTGCGTTATTTGCCTCCAAACCTGCCACATATTTCTCTGTTGGACAGAGATTCTTCCTAGCAGCAAGCTGACAACATGATTAGTTATGGCTGTCCTCTGCTTCCCCCCCCCCCCCCTTTTTTTTTTTTTTCCTTTTCGACAAAGTGTGAGGAACAATAAAGAAAAAAAAGGGGGCATAAATATAAAAAGGCATGATAGATTCCCCTGAATATCTGCCTGGAAAACAGAATTTTCCAGAATCAGTTGCCATTTCTCCCATTAGCTTGACAGCTGTCAATTAGGGCTTCAGTGCTCTCCTGGGCCACAGTTTATTGCGTGCAGTTGATGTTGTCATTTTGTTCTCGGTTTTGCCTTGAGC